ATGTTAGAGTGATAGCCGCACGCAAAGGAAGGAACCAATCAACTTCTATTTCTCAACTGCATCATTCTTTGTTAGATTTCAAGTAGTTTTAATTTTGGATTTGATATTTCAAATGTTGAGTTGTTTTTGCTTAAGATATTTTTCAATTTACATGTTATTTTTTTGTAAATTTTGGGAAAAGAACAGTTTTGAGTACAACTGAACATGAAAGAACCTGGAACCGAACCAGTACCTGATTTTTTTTGGGTATTTACAACTACAATTAATTGTGACCCGATCTGAACATGTACCTGTAAGAACCAAACCTGTACCCAATTCGAAACCTTACATGTACTTGTATTGGTATAAAATTTCTAAACCCGACAGAACCTGTACCCGCCGTATGCCTAGACCTAGTTGACAAGTGTAATGGGGTGGAGCGAATGAGGTTTTCAGTAAAGAGATGAGATAAGACCAAGATTATTGCGCAACGGAGGAGCTTTAACGACTTGCTATCAAGCCTGGGCTCATAAAGTGTAACATGTAGGAGAGTTACAAACAGTTTCCACTTCCGACTGATTGATTATTTATACCGTTACAAACAGCATGCGAATGACCGAGGCATCATTGCAAATGAAACAAGAGGATATAACCTAGGTGATGATGTTCTTGGACATCCTTCAGCATTTGAGGATCCAAACTCTTGCCTTCACGAGAACAACGACCGTGTCTTATTCCGCTCCAGTCGAGCTTCCCTCTGAGAGACAACACATGCAATGCAATCAGAGAAATAGGTAAGCAGACACGAACGAAAGCCTAAATACGTATTCACAAGAACCTCTTTCTTCTTGCATTCCTTGTACACATCAAAATGATCCTGGCATTTACTCTTGTCTGATCCAAATTCTTCAAGACCTGGAATAAAATTGGGTCAAGTGAAGTGAGAAAAACGGAAAGGCTGAAACAAGACACATCAACCCTTATTATCCACCAAAACCCCAACCTCTAAGAAACGGGATTCTCACACCGTAAATTGATTGAAACAGATGAGACCTAATCAAGGGCAATTCGTTTTAGACATTGATACGAAACAGCTCTAAGAATTAAATGGTGTTTGAGTCGGGAGAAAACGAATTAGAATGTCTTTCGTGCGATTCATGAAGCTAAAAATCTCAATTCCTCGGAAATGAATTGAAGGGGAAGATCGGGATCGTGACTCACATTTGAGAGAAGCGGAATACTGAAGATAACACGGAGAATCAGATATCCGAGCCGCGCTAGGGTACGCCGCAGCCGCGCCTTTCGTCGCCATTTCCCGATCACCGACTTTCTCAAGTTAAGTCTCAACGGATTCCGAGAAGATTAATCACATCTCATTAAAATGGGCCTTTAAGTCGCTCAGGCCGATCAATTAAAAGTTATACAATAGCGGGCCTTTAAATCCGGCCCAAAATAAAAAAAAAACACGGCCTTGTGCTTTTCTATTTATCATTATATAATTAGGCAAAATACATAACTCTTTCTCCCTCCCGACTCGCATTCATGTTGCTCTCTCTGTGGAATCTAAGCCCCGTCTGTCTCTTGTGTACATATATCTCAGGTCGACTAGGACTATTTCTTTTTATTTTATTACAAATCATCTTGCAGTTGCGTTAGAAGCGCATCACTCTCATGGACATAGCTATCGTTTACTGTTCCATTTTCCTCCACACCTATAAGAGCTTGGTAAGATTTGTCTTGAAGATGCCCCGATTGCCTCAACAATTCCAAAACGGTCTCTTTACTAGCAACATCCGATTCCTCTTCACAGAGCTTGAAGAAGCCAGACAGCATCAACACCTTTGGCCTCCAATTGCTGGACCCTTCCGCAGAAAACGCTTCTCTCAGACAAGCCAAAGCCTCTGCAATCCTCCTCCTCCTGGTATGACCGTCAGCTAGAATCTCCCACGTGCCTGAGCTTGGTTTTCCTCCCATTTCAATCATGTGGTCGAACAACCCCTCAGCTTTCTCTACTTGGTCGTTTTTAACGTACACATTCATGAGAAGATTTGGTATCCTGGGGTCATAAGAAGACTTGACCGGGAGCCACTCCTCGTATGCCTTCTCAGCCCCTTCAATATCTCCCATCCTCACCAAGGAGGAGATCAAAGCATGGTAACCCAAATTGGGGATGCTCGGGACAACAGATTTGTAGACGTTCCAGACCCGGTAAAGCTCTCTCGTGTTACCAACGCTGCCGTACAAACTCAAGAGGTAGTGATATGGAATCCGGTTACGACCAGTGATCCTTGCTTCAACTTTCCTGAGCGCATCTTCGGCTTTCTCAGTTTCGCCCATCTTGATGTACATGGTGGCCATTGTGCTAAAAGTGGTCCAGTTGGGATTAATGGAAACATCTGATTTCATCAGCTGATAGACTTGCTCCATTTTCTCAACAGAGCCGCAGGAGGAGAGCCAGATGTTGTAGGAGTAGATGTCGAGTCGGATATCTTTCTGCTTCATTTCGTAGACCATAGCGTCGACTCTGTCATACTCCCTTAGGTTCATGTAGAGAGTCATCATGACGTTGAAAGGAAGCGGGTGCAGGGCGTAACCTTTCTCCCTCATTTTGTCGAGCAAGGTCTCGGCTTTTTCTCTGGACTTGGCCCTCACATAGGCATTGAGGAGGGAGCCATAAACTCTACGGTCCTTGAAATCTTCAGGGATGGTGAGGAAGAAGTCTTCGGCGTCTGAAATCCCACGCACTTTGCCGATTAAGTCGAGCTGGATGGCAGCATCACTTGCAGACAATCGGAACCTTTCGCCTCTCTTGTTCATCCAGTCGTACACCTAGGGAATGGTCAAGGTAGCTTCTTTCTTTTTAAAGATTGTACAATTATAC